GAGGATATGGTGTGGGAGTTGGTGTTGGTAATGATTGGGGTGGATATATCAGAGGATTGAGGAGCCATGAGTATAGACTGCTGGAAGAGGAAAGAAAAAAAAAAGGAACAGAGGATGCTCGTTGGAGCCTTAGGGCTGTGATACCATAAGGATATTAAGAATGAATAGTATATTTCATTGATGTCTGATTGATACACGGAATGACTATTATATACAAATTGATAATATCTAAATAAGGTAAATATAACAGGATTGATGTAGAGAATCAATCCAGGTTGTCTAGATAAGGTAAATACAATGGGATTGATGAAGAGAATCAATCCATATCAGCTATGACAGGAAGGCAAAGATCAAGGTTGACTTTGATGAGAGATTGCAGATGATTGCGTTGATGATGAGATGATTTCCTTTGATGAAGGTTCCCTTTTATAGTCTACCTTGGCTTTGAGGATGGTTCCATCAGCAAGATGAACCAGCTTAAAGTAGCCCGATTCGTCAATTGAAACCACCTTGGATGAGAACCTGATGGTGCCACTACGGTGCTCATTTGCAAGAGCTTCCAACAAGAAGTTCCTTTTCACACATCGAACTTCATGATGTCCGCTGCACATCAGTTAAACTCACAAATTCTCAATCATCTGAGCATGCTCAAACTGAATGTTCATGGTCTTGTCATAAGTGATTTTCAATAGAGGGTAAAAATAAAAAAAACTGGAAAACAATATTTGGGGGGTCGAAAAGTATGCAAAAATGAGATGCAGCAACTGGAGGATTATAAGCTATTGAGGAACTGCTCTCCAGTTAAACTTACTTTTTTCCCCTGGCCTTAAATGACATTTCAAATATTGGAAGCCCAGAAATCGTTGAGGAAGTCACATTCCTGTATTCAAAACTCTGCACTCAGTTTCATGTGTGCACGTAAGCAAGTAACTACTAGCTGAAAAAAAAAATTTATACATACACACGCACAGCAATTGTCCAGAAATTTATCAAGCAAAAGGGGTATATCTAACTCAGTTTATTTTTTTGCTGTGTTGCCAAAGTGGTCAAACATTGAAACAGAATTTGACACAATAACATGTCAAATTGTCCAAAATGGTGACATAATGTACCCATGAAGTGTCTCATGTTGTCGGCGAAGAGTATCACCAATACTAAGGGCATCTAATGCCTTCCATGCATTTGTCCATGTTGAGAATGCAAACCCTGTTGTCCTCAAACTATCTGATGATTCCAACACTAAGCTTCGGATGCCAAGCCAGCAGCCAAAAAAATTTGAATTTTGCTTGCTGCTTAGAGTCATAGTGAACTACGTACTTACAATCATAACTTGTTTTAGCAGTGCTAAAACGCACAGAGTCATGCACAGATGAGAGAGAGAGAGAGAGAGAGAGAGAGAGAACCTATGAAGTCCTAAGGATGTTGCAAGGCCAGCAATTCCAGCTCCTACAATCACAACTTGTGCTTCTGCTTCTACTTCCATGAATGATATTTGAGGCTTTTACTTTGGTTTTAGTGGAAACAGACCCGCAGAACAAAGATATAGACATAGAAGGATGAGATGGGTATTTATATTATATTTCGCAGCAGCAATTGGATAGTGCTACACTGGGAGTACAATTTAGACGACGATGGGGATGACGTTCACACTAAAGACAAGTGACAAAAGCCAATGTTCAATCTGATCTACCTTTTCTTATCTATTATTGAAGCACTAAACCCCAATAATGCCACCATATGCTTTGTACTGTTTATTTAGCAGCCATGTTTTCTTTTTAGCAGCTATCTTTGAGCACTAGGCAATTGCAATATTGTTTGTTGGATTGATCGGTATAAGCCGTCTTACACCAAATCTTAATCTAATGGCGTTTCTCTTTTCAACGTTAAAAGATGGCTCAAGTTCGAATCTTGTTTCCCCTGTTGTTAATAAAGCTTAAAAGAAATGTCCCCATACAGAAACTCCATATAAATCACAAAATGACAAAAGAAAGTTCTTGCACTAATATGATTGACATATAAGGTTGCACGCAAATCACTATTATATATGCAGAGGAAGTATCATTGCATTTAAGAGATGCTGAGCTTCCCACAATCAAAATCTGACTTCTTCAACAACAAACCAGCCAGGATTGGAGATAAAAATTTGTCCCTGAAGAAGTTCATAAATTTTCCATTACTCTCTTGTAAGAAACCAACCACTCTAGATGTACTAATCAGATCAAAGCTTCTCCATCTCCTCTCATTGGCATACTTGTTCAACCCCATCTCAATCCTCTCATACTCTTCCTTTCCTTCTTCACCCTCCTTATCTTTTCTTTCTCCCCCTGAGTTCTTCAACAAGGCCTCACCAAGACACCTTGCCAATACAACACTGTCTTCTAATGCAGCGCAGCCACCTTGGCCAATGTCTGGGGTCATGGGGTGGAGTGCGTCTCCTGCGACACAAGCATTGCCTTTGCTGATGTTTCCCCAAAGAAGCTCCCAAGGATGTCTATATCTCAATGGAGAGGATATAAAAGCATCCAATTCGGTGTTTTCTACCACAGCTTTTACTTTATCAGGTATCTTTCCAAGCTTGCTTAACATATATTGCTTCAGTTGAGCTGGGTACTCTTCTAGCTCTTTCTCTACAAGACATGAAGAATAAACAAAAAATGTAACATACAGATACTGGTTTGATTGGAATTTTACATACTACGAACACTTAATCACAGCCAATATGAAGTCCTAAAGTTTCTGAATTGAAAAGGAAAAAAATATATTTTCTAGATGCTGAGTAACATAGTATGAAACATTCTATCACGGTTTTTTTATTTGTGGTGAGATTGAGATCTGAAAACCATTTTGAAGCATACCAATACCGGTGCTACAATGCGGAGAAACAGTACCAATATCTAAGGTTCTATCTTAAGTTATATTTTTTGCCCCAAGGATCTGTCGTAAGTTTGAGCCTTGAGGGTACCAAAAGGAAACATGGAAGCAAAGAATGCCCAAAATTTGTGTGAAAGCTTACCTTGGCTAGAGGGAGTCCAAGTAATGTACCAGTAAACATTTGTATCATCACAAGGGATGGCACCAGATCTAATACCATTCCCAAAGTACTGATTGAACTTGGGATCAACTCCATGACTGCTCTTGAAGGTAGCACAACCTCTAATAGCAGATCTACCTGTAAATGCCGGCTGCTTGAAGCCGAGCCATTTTGCCACCACGGAGTTCACTCCATCACACCCAACCAAGACCTATACAATCACAACATTATTACTGTAAGTGACTAGAAAATTAAGTATTCCATCCAAAAAGAGATGATGTTATGTTATTGGTTTACACCTCTCAAACAGATACTCTGCTTAAAAATGAATAAGTAGTCCCTAAAAAGTGAAGCTGTTCTAACATGTCGAAATAGCAAAAAGGACAACATTATTACTGTAAGTGACTAGAAAATTAAGTATTCCATCCAAAAAGAGATGATGTTATGTTATTGGTTTACACCTATCAAACAGATACTCTGCTTAAAAATGAATATAGTCCCTAAAAAGTGAAGCTGTTCTAACATGTCGAAATAGCAAAAGGGTTTTGGTTCAATTGGGACAGTCTAGCAGGCCATGGCGGATCCGAGTGGCACCGACCTGTTATCCTTCCACTGCCAAGAGCGGGAGGTAATCGTTGCTCTGTGAAGCCAGCCTTACGCAGTGCCCTCCACTCTAGAAACCCAGTGACCCAGAGCCTTCGTTCAAGCCACAGGGTTCAACTCCTGGCTTGGAATGGGCGGGCCAGAAGATAGTCAACCCGAACCCGACCAGCTAATACTGAGACAATGTTCCAGCACCTCAAAGCCCCCACTCGGGTTACAAGCCCACGTTGCTGAGCTCGGCGATCCAACTTCGTCCTGTTAGGTTTATGAAGTGTGGTTGTTTATATCAACCGAGCGATGTGGGATAAGTTGCAAGAGCGAGTGCCTCTTTAGGATAAGATCTTGGCCTTCAGATAATGACTTGACTTTTGCAAGGGCTTTTTTTAATGGAAAAATAGAGATAAAAAGGAAAGATCAGTCTACCTTGGCTTTGAGGATGGTCCCGTCTGCAAGATGAACCAGCTTAAAGTAGCCCGATTCGTCAACGGAAACCACCTTGGATGAGAACCTGATGGTGCCACTGGGGAGTTCATTTGCAAGGCCTTCCAACAACAAGTTCCTTTTCACGCATCGAATTTCATGGTCTCCGCTGCACATCATGTACATTCTCAACAATTGAGTTCCAATATTAAGCATCAAGTAAGATACTTTTAGCACTTATGCTATTGATAAACTTACTGCTTTCCTTTGGCCTTAAATGACATCTCAAACGTTTGAAGCCCTGTAATTCTTGAGGAAGTTACATTCCTGTAAATTCAAATCTCTGAATCAGTTTCGTGCGTGCAAAAGTAGAACTAACGGTCACGCCAACACCAACAAACATGTTAGGACTGATTTTGCGTAACTAACGGTCGAGATTAGCAATCTGACAACATAACATGTTAGGATAATTGAAGGGGCAAGAGAGAGTGATGCATGGAGAGAAAATTACCCATCAAGTGTGACATGTTGTTGGCGAAGAGAATCGGCAAGACCAAGGGCATCTAAGGCCTTCCATGCATTTGTCCATGTTGTGAATGCAAAACCTGTTGTCCTCAAACTATCAGATGATTCCAACACCAAGCTTCTAATCCCCAGCCTGCACCCAGAAATTTCAATTTTGATTCCGACCACAGTAACAAATATATGAACCATGAACATTAACATGTGTGTATTAGAGAGAGAGAGAGAGAGAGAGAGAGAGAGAACCTGTGAAGTCCTAAGGAAGTTGCAAGGCCAGAAATTCCAGCTCCCACAATCACAACATCTGCTTCAGCTTCCATGTTGTGCTTGATTATGCTCTAGAGACCCAGGCTTTTACTTCTTATATTTGTGATGGGGATGTAAAGGACAGGCATAATTGAGCTGAAGATGACGATGAGGATGACGAATGATGATTGGCGGTCAATACCGACAGCAGCAGACACGTGTTTGGGTTTGCCCTCTGTTTTGACTGTGGAGGCAAATCAAAATAAACTGTTGTTTCAAGTTTAAACCCGTGAGATAATCATCGGTAACTTCTTTTCTAGTTCAATTTTTTCTTATGATTGTATAATGGAGGAGGTGCATGATGACTTTTTTGAATCCAAAACAGTTGGGCATACTCTCTTGTAAATTTCTGAAGTTGTAAACAAATTAGGGAAAACAAATCCAGTATAGCCGGCCGGCTATACTATTTCTAAATATAAAAAATAAAAATGCGTATAGCCGTTTGGCTATACTATTTTAAAAAAGAATAAAAATATCGAGTCTAGCCAGTCGGCTATACTATTATTGACCCATCAACAAATTCCAAATGCTGAACAGAGCACGACATTCTTTCCTTTCACACAAAAAGCCCTGATCATAATTCAGTAAATACTCTGTCACATGAAAATTGGACCCAAAAGGCTAACCACCGAGCACCAACAGGCATTACCAGCTACACATTTTCTACATTTCCAACACTGCATATAATAATCCTATCTGCTTTCCGGGAATTTAGCGTCATAGTTCTGGGGCAACTGAAAAGATGAAAATAATTTTTTTTAAATGAAAATAAATAAATAAATATATATATATATATATGTATATAGTCACAAACATATGAAGAACATAAGTACCATGAATGTTGCCTCAATCATCTTTCCGGCAAACCTTCTTCCATGGAGAACATGCCGAGCATTTATCGCGGCTTGTGTGTTCTCGAATCGTAAGTACACATGACCAGCGGTATTCCTGCTCATTGACATGAATGTAAGTTAGACATGTGCACGAGACAAAGGACAACATAACTAATGCGAACAAATTTACTTGTCTACAAAGATATGCCTCAAATTCCCGTATTTTGAACACTCCTCCTGAACATCTTCTTTAATGTCCAAGTCAAAGTTTGGTTCCGTCTGCTCAAAAAGGAAGACAAATTATATAATATAACCACCAAGGGAATGAAGAAAATCTCTCAGTATCAGAAGAATCCACCACCAACCTCAACTGCCGGATCAAACATATTTTTCAACAGTAAACATTCGCTTGGAACACCAATTGTATCTATAGAAGGAAGAGTAGCAGTAGGAATTTGAAGACCAGCAACACCAAGTCCAGCGATACCAGGAACAACGGTGATGGGAGGAACAAGAGGAGAAACCACTGGTGCAGCTCCCAGGAGTGGTGCCGTTGGTAGTTCCATTGGTAAAGAAACACCGGTGCTATTGACAGCGGGAGTGCCTAGGGGACCAGCAATACTGCATACAAAGCCAATGTAAGACCAACTAAAACAATTCAAAATAGAATAAAATGATCAGAAAATACCAACCCTGATCCAGAGCCACTGCGATCCAATTTCTGCATGAGAATTGCCCGAGAACGGGCATTCAATGACTGTAAGATTAATAAAACAATACGTCAATCACTTCACTCAGGTCAACAACAAAAATTATGCAGTGCAGACGCTCTTTCTATGCCAAACTATCACCCTCGGCTTTGCAGTGCTGATGTCTGCAATGCCTTGAGAGACAATGCATATCTTACTAGTTAAAGCAAAAGGGAGGGATAAGTGCCGAAACCAGTAAAATGATTACAAAATTCATGGATGCTACGTTATTTTGAATTATCAAGCTCAACTTCAATCTGCTAGCAAAAAAAAAAAAAAAACTTAAATAGGCAATCTTTCCAATATCAAAGGTTAAAAAGCTGGCAGGAGTGCAAGAGATGGTAGTTCAAATTATTTTTTTACCTTATTTTTCTACTAGGAGAATGAATAAGAGAACAATAAATACAAAAGATACTAAATAAGAGAACAATAAACACAGAAGATACTAAGCCAATCGAACCAACTATAGATACCATAAGCATCAAGCAGCAAAAAATCTTAAAAGCAATGATGGAGCAGCAGCAGCTTCTATACATTCAACAATTATTCCCAGATATTACTCAGCCAGAGCAAACAGTTCTTAGCAATCATATAAGTCCACAAATTATTTGTGTTAATAGAAAATAAAAACATAAAAGGAAAGATCTTACTAACCAAGCCACCACCTTCATCGTCATCAAAATCACCAGCATTTTCTCCAAGATCTTGCATTCCGGCTTGGTCTGTAACAGCTGACACCTAAATAGAAAAATAATTTATTCTTCTATGGACCTGCCTTGTGCTTCACTGCTTCGGCTTCCCAATCTCAAGCTAAAATTTGCAGCTAAATTTTTTCAATTTCGGGTTTCAGACTTTCAGTCAATCGCAGTGTTTGAAAAATCGGCCTAGGCGAGCGGCTAGGCGGCTAGGCGGACGCTAGGCGGGCGCTAGGAGGTCGCTAGGAGGCTAGGCGGTCACTTGGCGGGCTCTAGGCGGTCGCTTGGTGGGCGCTAGGCGGCTAGGATGTCGCTAGGCGGGCGCTAGGCGGCTAGGCGGGAGCTAGGCGGCTAGGAGGTTGCTAGGCAGGCAGCTAGGCTGTCGCTGGGAGGGCACCTAGGCGGGTTGGGTCTATTTTTGGTGCCGAACCAGGAGGACGAAGCAGTGACTGCGAGTGCAAGTTCCGTCCTCTGCGAGTGCAAGCTTTGTTCGAATATATTTAAAGAGTATAGCCGAACGGCTAATGTATTCAGAAAGTATAGCCGAACGGCTATACGTTTAAAATATTAGAACATATTTGAAGAGTATATTTTAGAGCTATAAAAAAAAATATGAGAAGAAAGCTCCAACTGCACATCATATCTCATTGAAAAAAAATATATATATTACTGAGGAACTGCTCTACTGTTAAACTTACTTTTTTCCCCTGGCCTTAAATGTACATTTCAAACATTGGAAGCACAGAAATCGTTGAGGAAGTCACATTCCTGTATTCAAAATCTGCTATCAGTTTCACGTGTGCATGTAAAGCAAGTAACTACTAGCTGAAAAAATATACACATATATATATAGACACACACACAGAGCAATTGTCCAGAAATTTATCAAGCAAAAGGGGTATATCTAACTCAGTATTATTTTTTTGCTGTGTTGTCAAAGTGGTCAAACATTGAAACATAATTTGACACAATAACATGTCAAATTGTCCAAAATGGTGACATAATAATGTACCCATGAAGTGTCTCATGTTGTCGGCAAAGAGTATCGCCAATACCAAGGGCATCTAATGCCTTCCATGCATTTGTCCATGTTGAGAATGCAAACCCTGTTGTCCTCAAACTATCCGATGATTCCAACACTAAGCTTCGGATATGCCAAGCCTGCAGCCAAAAAAATTTGAATTTTGCTTGCTGTTTAGAGTCATAGTGAACTACATACTTACAATCATAACTTGTTTTAGCAGTACTAAAACACACACGGACTTGCACAGATGAGAGAGGGAGAGAGAGAGAGAGAGAGAGAGAGAACCTATGAAGTCCTAAGGATGTTGCAAGGCCAGCAATTCCAGCTCCTACAATCACAACTTGTGCTTCTGCTTCTACTTACATTCCATGAATGATATTTGAGGCTTTTACTTTGGTTTTAGTGGAAAGAGACTCGCAGAACAAAGATATAGACATAGGAGGACGAGATGGGTATTTATATTATATTTTGCAGCGGCAATTGGATAGTGCTACAGTGGGAGCACAATTTCTTATCTATTATTGAAGCACTAAACCCCAATAATGCCACCAAATGCTTTGTACTGTTTATTTAGCAGCCATGTTTTCTTTCTAGCAGCTATCTTTGAGCACTAGGAAAGTGTAATATTGTTTGTTGGTTTCATCGGTATAAGCCACCTTACACCAACTAACTCTTAATCTAATGGCGTTTCTCTTTTCAACATTAAAAGATGTCTCAAGTTCGAATCTTGTTTCCCCTGTTGTTAATAAAGATTAAAAAGAAATGTCCCCTTACAGAAACTCCATACAAATTACAAAATGACAAAAGAAAGTTCTTGCACTAATATGATTGACATATAAGGTTGCACGCAAATCACTATTATATATGCAGAGGAAGTATCATTGCATTTAAGAGATGCTGAGCTTCCCACAATCAAAATCTGACTTCTTCAACAACAAACCAGCCAGGATTGGAGATAAAAATTTGTCCCTGAAGAAGTTCATAAATTTTCCATTACTCTCTTGTAAGAAACCAACCACTCTAGGGCTCGTTTGTTACACAAGACTGTCTTGGCATGGACTATGCTTAGGGACTGTCTTGGCTTGGCTTGGCTTGGTCTAAGTTGGATAACACTTATCCTGCATTTGGTGCATGCTTGGACTAGGACTAGATTTTTTTTATTTTTTCAAAATATATATATAACATATATGTGTATATACATGTACACATGTATATTATATATTATAAATAATATAAACATATATTCGAGGAAACTCCTCAGTGTTACTATATCGGATGTATGTGCAATGTACTCTTTTTTCCTTCAATCAGGTTTTTATCCCATGTGGTTTTTCCTGACAAGGTTTTTAACGAGGCAACATTTAGCACGTCCAACATGATATCATTGTATGGTGGACATCCAAGGGGGAGTGTTATAAATCCATACGTTATGGGTTTATAGTTATGGATGCCCACAATAATAGCCACTATTAACCTATCATAATACCCATCATTATATACTTGTAACCTACCAATTGTGGTTGGTAAATGATTTAGGCCTATGTACTCCTATAAATAGTGGATCCAAATATGAATGGAATACAAGTTGATTTGAGCAAATTATACTGTCTCTTTCTTCTTCTTATTTCTCCTTACAAATTCTCTAATTTCACAACATATACATATAATGTATATGTGTATATACGTGTGTATATGTATATTATAATACATACATGGGTATAATATATATACACATATGTATATATATGTATATGTGTATTATAATATATATATATATATATTACATATATACATGTATGCTATTATTATAATATTAATATGTATGTGCATATGGGTATATTATAATAATAATATACATGTATGTATCTATATGTATTTTTATATATATTATATATGTATATATGTGTTTATATATATATACACATGTATATGTGTATATACGTGTATATATGTACATTATAGTATATGTGTATGTAGTAATAATAATAATAATAATAATAATAGCAATATATGTTATTAGTATTACAATATAATATATGCAACTTATACATTTTGAACATAGGACTAGTTAATCCTCCCTTTCAACATGGGATTAGTAGTCCCCTCCTAAGGAGGTGTTTTTGGTGGGCCCGGTATTAGCAATCCCATCTAAGACTAGAATTAAATGAAACAAATATGGTACTAAATTTAGTCTAAGGCAGTCCAAGCCAAACCTGTGTACCAAACGACCCCTAGATGTACTAATCAGATCAAAGCTTATCCATCTCCTCTCATTGGCATACTTGTTCAACCCCATCTCAATCCTCTCATACTCTTCCTTTCCTTCTTCACCCTCCTTATCTTTTGTTTCTCCCCCTGAGTTCTTCAATAGGGCCTCACCTAAACCCTAAACCCTCTAATAGCAGATCTCCCTGTAAAGGCCCCTAGTTAGGACGAAAATGACAAAGTTTCCAGCTTTGAGGTTAAAAAAAGCAAAAAGGTTTTGGTTCAATTGGGACAGTCTAGCAGGCCATGGCGGATCCGAGTGGCACCGACCTGTTATCCTTCCACTGCCAAGAGCGGGAGGTAATCGTTGCTCTGTGAAGCCAGCCTTACGCAGTGCCCTCCACTCTAGAAACCCAGTGACCCAGAGCCTTCGCTCAAGCCACAGGGTTCAACTCCTGGCTTGGAATGGGCGGGCCAGAAGATAGCCAGCCCGAACCCGACCAGCTAATACTGAGACAATGTTCCAGCACCTCAAAGCCCCCACACGGGTTACAAGCTCACGTTGCTGAGCTCGGCGATCCAACTTCGTCCTGTTAGGTTTATGAAGTGTGGTTGTTTATATCAACCGAGCGATGTGGGATAAGTTGCAAGAGCGAGTGCCTCTTTAGGATAAGATCTTGGCCTTCAGATAATGACTTGACTTTTGCAAGGGCTTTTTTTAAGGGAAAAATAGAGATAAAAAGGAAAGATCAGTCTACCTTGGCTTTGAGGATGGTCCCGTCTGCAAGATGAACCAGCTTAAAGTAGCCCGATTCGTCAACGGAAACCACCTTGGATGATAACCTGATGGTGCCACTAGGGAGTTCATTTGCAAGGCCATCCAACAACAAGTTCCTTTTCACGCATCAAATTTCATGGTCTCCGCTGCACATCATGTACATTCTCAATCATTTGAGCATGCTTGAATATGGATACCAACAAAATAATTTAAATAGAATCTAGCAAACAATTGATTTCCAATATTAAGCATCAAGTAAGATACTTTTAGCACTTAAGCTATTGATAAACTTACTGCTTTCCTTTGGCCTTAAATGACATCTCAAACGTTTGAAGCCCTGTAATTCTTGAGGAAGTCACATTCCTGTACATTCAAATCTCTACAATCAGTTTCGTGCATGCAAAAGTAGAACTTAGTAAGTACCAACAAACATGTTAGGATTGTATTTGTGTAACTAACGGTCGAGATTGGCAGTCTGAGAACATAACATGTTAGGAAATTACCCATCAAGTGTGACATGATGTTGGCGAAGAGAATTGGCAAGACCAAGGGCATTTAAGGCCTTCCATGCATTTATCCATCTTGTGAATGCAA